CAATAAGAGTAACCGTAGTTCAATCACCGCTATGGTAACCTCGATTACGTCTACGAAAAGAACCAAAAACGTAAGTTAATTATCGAGTCTATTTTTGGTACAAAAATAACTCATGTTTAGCTGGTTACATATCTACATCATGACTCACAATAACATCTTACAATATTTAGGGAAATCCAAGCAAAAAAACCTATAAGTCAATATTTACTCATTTTAATAGTCATTAATTAGATTTTGATCCCAGATAGATGCACTTTGCCGTCATAAAACCTGCTTACTAATGACTTCTGTGGAATAAGAAAATACTGTAGTCTTATTTATACTGGAGTCATAATCACGTTTCTTGATAGAGATTCCGAGTTCGATTCTAAGATGCGCCAAATATTTCTAGAATGGCTGGTGATTAGTGTTGCAAGTTGAACAATTACAAAAATAAAAAAATGTACTTTCAGATGATCATCTTTTGTTCAAATGAACATTGTAGGGTTTCTTATAAGAATATAAAAGACTGGTAAATAAATCTTTGGAAATTAAATCTGGTATTTAATTATTCTGCAAAGAACAAGGCCATAAATATTAATTAATATTCTATAAATTATTACTCAATTTAAATGCACTCAATTACCACTATGTATAACTCCCGATGTAAAAGAAGCATGTTACAAGTTTAACCTGTCACCGTAGCTCCTAAACGACTGAACCGATTATGATACTGTTACAAATAATTAACATTTTTATGGAAATTAAAAATAATTTCATGTACCATACAAAACTTTGTTCTAAGTACATTAATAAATAAATATAACAAGGTAATAAAGGTGATGTCAGATAACAATACCAACTATCTTGTTTGTTTGCATACGACATACTATTGTGCGGTGATTCAAACAGGATAGAACCGATTCCGTGAATGATGACTTCACAATGACGAAATAAACAATTTGGAGTAAACAAATTAACAGGTACATTGAAAAATTTACAAAACAAAATATTATAACAGTGTCATTTCTGTAGATATCTAGTCAAAATTTTACTCGAGTATAAATTGTATTACAAATGAAAACATAAAATAGTTGCTTCAAATTTGTTAAATTATGGCATAACATACACACGTATACAAAGAATGCAATAGAAACGACCTCGTTTTTGAAATCGTTCGAAAAATTTGTGACCATACGTAGCCACATTTAGACGCGCGACGTCGGTGCTACGGACGACTTTCAATAGACACCAGCTAAAAGACGTCAGAGGCTCAGCAAATATTGACAACAGCCAACCTGCTATTGTGTATCGGTGTTTTGTAATTACACCATACCTACCAACAATGAGAAAATTTACACGCTCAGTTTGGGCGTAGTGCCACCGCGCTACGTCAACCAACAAGATACTACGCTGCATTTGTATACCATATTTTACATCTTACTATTTTCCGTTCGGCGGTTGAATGACTAGGAAATTCCATATTTCTACAGCACTAACAGATAACATACACATAAGTTTTAAAGACTTTAAACAAACATTAATACCTTCTCCAGTTTATTATAAACGACAGAATCTACACTAATATTAGGACAGTTGAGAAATTTCTGTGAGTTTGTAATTGAAGTGCAAACCGCTAAAGCTGTACATACATAGATTAATTGTTGCTATAAAAACTGAAACCAGTGCACATTCATTTAGGAAATCCGATATATCTGAAATGCTGAAATAATTATGCTTAGGTGATTCAGAACGAAGATAGAGATAGAAGTTTAACTTAGTGTACCAAAGTTTTCGGATTTTCAGGTCTTGAAAATCCGAAAACTTTGGTAAACTTTATTTATGCTGGTATGTATTGCAAATAAGTTTATATTACTATATACACTTCTATTATTTCATTTAAATATATTGTGTATCTCTATGTATGTATTATTTTATGGTAGTGGTAGTACTTCGATGTCTAATCGTATTCTTCCATAAAATGTGTATGCACCAAAAAAAAATTACATTCAGTCATCTGCCCTCAGCCCGTTCCAGACATGTGATGTTTACGATATTTGGCTCACGATTACTACTTTTCGAGTTCACCTTCGTCGTTCACCTGTTCTACGCAACTACATTTGTCGACCAATTGCATGAATTGTAAAACTTATACTATATAGTTTATTTCCACTGGTGGCGGAAAACGGCGCTTGCTGAAAGACGTAAATAAGTTCAATGACCCCGACCTTGGTGGCGCCGCCGACGCAAACAATAGTGTCTTGGCTCCAGAGATTAAAATAATTGTCGTGTAACGGTAGGTATACTACCAATTAGTTACAATTTACGAATAAAAAGTTAAGAATATTTCTAATAAAAGTAATTTAGAAATAACAATCCTACATATAAGTTCAAATGACGATCTTATACCAATTGATGAAAACGATATCTACGACTACAACTACAATGTTCAAGAAATTATTTATATACTATAAAATACGGAAAGGTGTAAGTTAAATAGCAGAAACGTCCACTTTCGATTTTTAAGAAAAATAAATTTGTTTATTTTGTACTCATACATTTACATTATGAAAATAATTTAGTGTTTATCTATCAGTCACAGAGATGTTATATGTTTGACATTGTGAAAATATCTTCTATGAAGTTACATTGAATGTGATTGAAACAAAATTGACGTACCCGATCTGCATAATAAGGCAATACGTACGTACAAGACAAGACGTCGTGTGAACGTTAACGTATGTCGTAGGTACAATTTAGTAATAGATACGTGAAATTACAATTGGTTACATGAAATCAACCGAGGAAATTGAGTGATTTATTTTTTATATCTGAAAACGGATAGAAACTGATGTCCCATTTTCTAGAAAGTATTAACCTACCTATAGACACGAATACTATTAAGGTTACAGAACACTGAATGAATCCTCATTGATCGTCACGATACGACTAAGGTGTTATGATTCTATATTTAGCCATATATGCCTTATATCACCTTTTAAAACGGAACCACAGATTGTAAGATGTGACAGAGTTACATTCAAGGTGACATCGGTATGAGTATGCGTTCATATTGTTGTTGATATTGCAGTAAGACATTTATATTGTTGTTCATATCGCGTGCCGCCTCACATTATAGCTGCAACGGAACTCCTAATTGAAAATAACACGAATTTTCATGGTCGCGATAACATAGTCGATATTCAGGGATAAACAGACTTCCATTATAAATTCCAAACGAATTTTTAAAGTATTTATTGAAAGCCCAAAGATATCAAATTCATATCAAACATTTATGTAGACATGTTTAATTTAATAATTTGACAACGTTTATTTCATATAATTTTTGATGAAATTTGTAGGTTTCATTCTTATTAATGACAAACCTACACATACATACTAACTTCTAATAGATACGTTTGGGATTTTTCTCCTTCTCTCTAGAAAATTCAGGATTTTTTTCATTTAATTTATATGGGGTTTTCAAGTCAATAAGATTCCCTGTCATGCTCACTTAAATTTCAGACAGATGGTGGTGTGGTTAGATTGGTTATTGGGCTCCCTAAATGATGGTATGGTTGAACTCAATGATGACTGGCCAATGAGGGTTAAAATAAAAATAGACTATTAAAAATTGCTTTTATTAAGTGTATTTGAATAAAGATTATTTATGTTTCTAATCCTATTTCACTCCAAGCTCTATATGGACAGAAAAAATATAAATAAATAGAAACAAGACTTTACCTTCAATTTTAGATTTATCAGAAATTGTAATTATTATGTTGCTGACTTTACAAATTTTCACAAGAAGCAAATGGTATAAATATAAAGAAAATTTGAGTATGTTGCACGTTATATTGACATGAACGAATAAAATTAAACTACTTGTATCGAATGAATAAAGGTTACGCGGTGCGTTGGCTATAGACAATGATCTGTGGGAGCCCACACCACGCTCTCATGTAGTTCCCACGCGTGATATTGCGCCTGCGCAGATCCCGGAAATGACGCAATCATTCAAAACAACTATTTTCATCTATTGGCTTAAATTTTTACAAAGATTAACAATAATTAGGACTCTACATCTGGAAAAAACCAACTGAGATCTGAAATTACCCAGATCCGTTGCTTACCCTGAAGCAACCTTTTCATCATCCTCATATATGATGATAAATTAAGCAATTCATAGGGACTATTCTATAGATCCTAAATGCCATTGAACGATAATTTTTCCCAGTTATTTGAATTAAGAACTAAACTTTTAAACCGATATTAATAATTTGACTATGGGATAGATGTCTCACATAATATAAACATATTATTTTTATATGAAAATATGTAAGAACTAAGTAGGTACTCTCGATTACAAAAATTAACTTCTTCGGGACACTCTCGGCATCGCCTTAGTGTAGCTTGGAATAAGGAAGTCTAAGAAATTAGAATGAATACACACATTATGCTACAAGCACATATACAAGAAAGCTATTAAAAAAATGGTGTACTAGGTATCTCTTTTTAACATTCTCGAGGGACGAATACTCGTACACGCAATAACATTTTGTTGACTTTCTAGTCTGTTTGTCTCTCTATCTGTCTAGATATACATAAATATTCAGGTCAGTGTTCATATATTTCAATATGCATGTATATCTATTGTTTAAACTTTAAATACAAATCTTTCTAATATTATAGATGTCAAAGATTTTAAAGATGGACGTTTGTTAGTGAATTACAATTAAACAGCTGAAAAGATTAGTATGTCATTTTTACAGACGAGTCAAACCGTATCACATATACTAATAATACAAATCTGAAAAGTCAAAATATTTTAGTGTTAGATAGCTCATACATATCCAGAAAAGACAATATAACAACCAAAGCTAACATAGACGAAATTGCGAATCAGCTAGTATAGGATATGTCGTATTTGTTCCAACAGCATACAAATAGTTAAACATAATAATAGATTATATTTGTTTATATAGTATAAACAAATATTATCAATTATTATGTTGTAACAGTGACATTACGCGAGGATAGTGAAGACAATGTGACCATGAAGCATATTACCCGTTGTACAATATGGAATAAGTTCAGCAGAGGCAGGCAACCGGAATGCGACTGTTATATCGCAATAGTGCGGAACTAACCAACGAGGCGTCTTTACACCACGGCGATGGAGGGTCATCACCACGTCGGGACACTAATGAGATATGCCTCGTTGCTCAGCTATAATGAGCTGACACGCTCTACCATGTGGTGAGGCGAGTGAGCAGTACCACTTTGCTTTTACTCTATTCCTAAAACAACCAAAAATTTTTTTAATTCTAGTTTTTTATCTGTTCATGATACATGACATCATGTAATTCCCAATCCTGAGCTAACTTGAAACCGTCTTCAAAATGAGAAATTGAATTCAATTATATTCTTTTTAACTCACTTAAGAACCAAAATTAAAAAAAAATCAGAATCTAGTTAGTACCTAGTTTGTTACTTTAATAAAGTGATTAAAGAATTATTCATGGTCTGAACACACGTCTAATTTTTACATTTTAAAATGAAAACAAGCCACTAGTAATATATTTAGGTATTAACTGACATAGTAAAACATTAATAACATTTAACCATTCAGCTTGTTGACCATAATTCCACGTATTTACCAATAATACGTTTAATTATTTCAAAAAAAGTACTGTTACTTTTAATTTATTAAATTGATAAAAGACTACACTGTGCCCAAAAAAATCCTGATTCGCAGCGACATGGTAATGAAAATCTAATGAATTACTTTCTTTTCAGAGCTTGAATTGCAACTTATTCAAGCAGCCAACCACTGGGAATGGTACAATACATAAAAGCTGCCATTAAATTATACATCAGCTTATTTTCGAGTCAAAACAGTGATAGCGGTCGTGCTATATAACTGTCTAATAACATAAGTGGTGTTTACAAGAACAGAACAGTCCTGATAATGAGTGAATAACCTACACACGCGACAATGATGCTTTACAAATGCAAACACATAAACACAAAGGTCGAAAAGTGAGCAAGTTTTTCCTTATATGCTTTGGGATTGTTAGAAAAACAAGGAATTTTACTTCCCTACTAGTACGTAGATTTTTTTAATATTTACATTAAAACCTAACAATAATAATAAAGACCTAATAAACAGTGACAATCACAAAACAAATCTACTAGATAAATACATATATCATATAGTAATTGAAAAACCTGATAATTTTAATGTAGGGCATAAAAACGGTACGTTATAAGAATTCAATAGATTGTCCAATAATGATAAAATATTTCATTTTTTTTAAATCGCAATATATCCTTTTATTAATGAAGACTTATAATTATTTTCTCTCTTGTAGACAAGTAGACATGCTTTGTTGCTGATGAAAATTGAAAGAGTGTTAATAATTAATACTCTTTTTTATTATAAAGTTACTTTATAGTTAAAGTTAAATATATTTGCTTGTATGTAAAGAAACTTATAAAAGCTATGTATGTATGTATCAACGTCAAGTTCAAATTATTGCTAACTTTATTCTTTCTAAATTTCTATTATTTTTGCTATATTGTTTTAATAGTAATATTTTCACAGTTCAAGTGTCATTTATTGACAATGAAATGAATTTCAAAAGAAATGTTAATATCAAGAATTATATCTAAGTTATATGTAATTCTAGCTGTACTCCCGAATTCATCCGCGTGGAATCTAAATTTATTTTTCTAAAATAAAAGTAGCCTAAGTTACTCCTATATTACTGCCAATAAAAGTCCTGTCAAAATCGGTCCAGCTTTTTCACAGATTAGCCGGAACAGACAGACAGAAAATATTTTAAAAAGTGTTTTTTTTGTGTATATTCCGTATTTATATTCATATGCATGTAGTAAAAAACGGTTATTTCGATATACATATATATATATATATATATATATATATATATACGGTTGTATATATATATATATATAAATATACTACTTTAGATAAATTTATCGTATTCATTAGTGTTGTTAATGTTTGTGTTGATAATATTGTATTTTTTGGAATACACTTTTTGCTTTCTAAATCATTGTTATTTTTAGTAATTTGTTAGATACTAAATCACGCGTGGTATGTTGATAAGGTACTATCACCAGATATGTGTAGACATTTATAATTACTACATGATAATAATATTTATAATAGCAAAACGAGTTTGTGGTTTTAATGTTGTGCATCGTTTAAATTTGCTTTGAAGAATCATTCGGTCAATGGCTTTGAAAATGAAATTTTAATGCTCTTTCGTATGCAAAAGTATAAAAACAATATGTTAATGTAACCTGGCGCATGACGTCATCAGTCTGTATTTACTTAACTACGCACGAGAAACCAAGCAAAATAAGAGGTTAAAATTATTATACATTTTTCTTTACGATACAGCTTTTAAAAACAGGTGAACAATTCTAAAAATAACCAAGAACGTCCTTACCTAGAATACAAAAGTGTTTACAAGTTATATATATAATTTACTGTTTTGTTTAATTATTAAAGTACTAACTTTAAGCGTAAAAATTATCAGGTACCTACCTAATAAACGTCTCGCGTAAAACTTACATTTAAACTAGTGGTGTCAAAGAGGTCATGGCCCGTCTAGACTAAAGTATAACCTAACGTGGTCTAGACGTCTACATTATTTAGAATTTTCACTCGAGTTATTCCCCTCTTTAAATGACTCTAAATCCAAATGTCAGTCCCCATAATGTCTGCAATCCCAAGATTTTATGGTAACTTAAATTACTTCTGTGTGCTATGTTTTGGTGATAGATGCAGCCAACAACTGTCATAAATCAAAGATGTAGAACATAAAATATAATATACTATGATTACATTATTGCGAACAAGCCAAACCCGACAGTACAAGGGAAGAAGATATAAACAAAACTGTGGCAACTAAAAATTACAAATAGAAAATTATAAACATTTAAAAATATGATATGTTGTGCTAGCCAGCGGTCGACTGCAATGAAAACCTATACAACTACACTGTTACACATACTACACTAGAGATCACAACGGTCACCGTTATAGCAGTAATTGATATTCAAGGTATCACAAGTTGTCTATACGTTGCTACTCCTGAAGATTTATTTACATTGCTTTCATCAATGCAAGTGGTCAGTAATACACACAAGCATATTTAGAACAACCTACACAATAAAAACGATTCCTATCATTTGCTATTATTTTTGTATGAATTAGTAATTATAACATTTACAAAATGTGTAAATGATGATTCAAAAGTGTTTACATTAAGTTTATAAACAATAATGAAGATTTCTATACTATTTTATTATGCAAATGTATGGGAATGGTATGTAATGGTAATGGGAATATGGTTTTAGGCTCTATTAATTCAAGTTACACCGAGGTGAGTCGGCGTCTATTGCAAATTGGTAACTTTTGCACATTTATAAATAAGCTAATCAGCACCCACCAGTATTGCAATCTGATAGTTAGGGTAGTCATTGGTGAAAATTTATAATTAAGATGCATATATCTTAATAATATAAAAAAATAAATATACAAGTACAAGGAAATGCTGCTTGTGCCGCTTGCGATGACTCGCAACGGGGTTTCCATTCAGCGTATTATTGTTGTTACATGTTACGGATTTAGCACAGTGACTACATGCCGGATTGTTTTGTTTGTTTATGTATCTGTACTCTTGTGACATTGCAATGTATTATAAAAAAAACAGCGTCATCACTCTGGAACGAAACATTTCTCGGCAGACATAGGTTCCTAAGAACGGTATCCACCAGCAGTACCTACTAGACCAAACCTCAACATGTTTTGTGCTTCGGCACTTCTAATTGATGGCTATTAGAAAATTATAAAAAAAGATACTGTTTACTCTCTTGGCATAATATAAGCATGAATAAGAGCAATTTCTAATGTAAATGCTGAAGTTAAGGGGGTAGATCATTTATAGTGGCACAGATGTAAAATACTAGTTGCTGCCTACACAGATCACTGGATAACACATTATAAAAACGATAAATTAAAAAAAGTATAAAAATAGCGTTCAGTATAGAAGGAACATAAATAATGCATACACTGCATTACAAGTGTTTTTGCTGCTGTCAATACTTGGTAGACAATATCACATAATAAATAGGTATATAAATAGTTTTTACTAGTAATCACACACAGATACAATGTTATAAACTAAACATAGAAAAAATCAACCAATATAATAGTGTTGGTTTTGGTTTACATACTCTAAGATAAACGACTAGAAAATGTTGTGAGTTCAAATTCTACCAATGAAACAAAAGATCTAGATTAATCTAAAGGATTCTTTTGACACTTGAATGCTACCACGTACCTACTATATAAATTATGTTACTTTACACAATGATGGTATGAAAAAAAACTCTTTAGAAAGTTGTAAAAGTTATCACCGGGGGAAATCATTAATGTATGCATGATACTTGTCAACAACTTCAACAAGTAATATCTATTCAAGTCAGAGCGACTTGAAAACTTAACTATGTTCAAGTATTGAGGAAAAAACAACTACGTTGAAAACACCGCATAAACAACTCCTATCTCTATTTTATTGTTAAATATTTTCATTTAAGTCTTGGTATACATAAGTTTGTTTAATTCTAACTTAGAACTACAGTATTTCTATAACAACAACTACTTGGCTATTGTTTCGTTCCACGTGAATGAAGTACTGATAGTGGGAAAATCCAACATTTTAATTATTTGTTAAAACCTCTTATCTAACTTTGTAATTACATTATTATAATAGCGACTAGGAAACTTTGGCATAATAATATTTATTATGGTTTGCTTTCTAAAAGCTACTTGTTTTACAGGACTTTTAATATTATTATGACCTCATGTTACATGTGGCTCTAGAACCGTACATTAGTTGCTATAAAAGTCTCTAAGGCCCAGAAAATTTCTAAAATATTTACTCGTGACGCGTAACATTACAATGTGTATTTAAAATACCTAAGTAGTTTGTAAGTAATTTTATTTACAAAGAAAAAATATTAGGATTCTTTGTTGCTCTATCTGCAACACCTCTACGAGTCTTCTACAATAAGTTATGTATGTATATTCACCATCCATGTAGGAACAATAAT